CTGGCTTAGCAAGCCAAAAAACGAACGAATTATTATTTACTTTTCAAGTCTTGTATGTTTTCATCTCCTGCAATTCTTTGTTGCTTTTTTCGCAATTTCCACGTCCGTGACCGAAAGAAAATAAAAGATGCTAAAATAAATTAAGAGATGTACTGTGGGACTCACTGCATGGGTTGTTGTTTCCCATTAAGTCAAATATACGACAGCTTTAAATTTTCTCTTCACATGACAGCGAAATCAACCCACAACATTGAGCCACAGGAGGAGGGAGGTGGAAGGGAGAAATAACTGCTAGTATTAGTGCTCCATGTGTTTAAAAAATTATAACCTCGCTCTTAGGTCTTATGAAAATCTGTTGGTAAAAAATGAACAGGGATTTCAACTGGCCTGGCAGCAAGAAAAGGGTAAAAAACAAGGTTATTCAAACTTCAAATTCTCCCCTCCCACTCCATCTTGATGGAGAGATAATTTGCACGTGCCCTTTGCACTGATTTCCTGCCGGCTCAGTTGGAGGCGTCTGTCCAATTTCATGTCGTACAAAATAACAAAAACAGGAAAAAACGTTATTGAGTGAAAAAGAAAATAAAAACAAAATGTAAATTGACGTGGGGATTGACTAGGGATTGATTCGCTCATGTTTATTTATGAAATACTACGTCCCTTGCCCAAAAAAATTTTCAAGAAACGACAATGAATCAGAAAAGGCATATAAAAGCCAGCAATTGGAAGAGAGATATCGGCTCCAAATGGAACATTTCAAAGAATATCCCCATTTACATGAGAGCAAAAGTAAGTGTTTCTTTCCATAAATCTTTTGAAGGTCAGTAAATACTTACAGGTAGAAAAATGAAGCACAATTACAAAAAAGTATAATTTCATCAATAGGTCTTTTTCTCAAGAAATATAAGGCTATTGATAGCCAAATTTCACAGTGATCACCACCAGAAAAAAGCAACAGTATCTAAATGCATATTCTATGGAAAGCTGGTACAAAACTGCCCAGGGTAAAAAATCTCTGCACCAAGTAGTGCGCAAATGCTGTCTCTTAAAAACACCAGCAGAGAGTAGCCTCTTCAAAAAAAGCACAGGTTCTGTGGCGAGCAGACGGGAGGCATTCACAGAAGCAAAAAGTCGAGCCAAATAGCTTTCAGGAAAAAAAATCTTCAAATCAACACAAAAAGAAGTGAAAAACGTAGGGTCAGCGATATATAAGGAACTTGACTCTGAATGTAAGGAGCCACTGGGAAAGTCCTTTAGAGAAGTAATGTCCATGGTTTCCGAGGCTGGGTTGACAAAGAAAGTATCACATGTTGAGGCAAAAAAAAATCTGTAAAGAAAAGAGAAAATTAAGAAAAAAATATAGAAAATTCCTGAAATAAAAAATTATGTCAACCTTCACCTGGCTGAACGAACATATTTTGCAACCAGGAAAAAGGAGGGTAAAAAATGCCCCGAAGCGGAACACCTGAAGTCATACAGCCTGAAAAATTACACAACTACCTAAACTGCAACCCCAAATCCAGATATTGTGCCAACAGGTATGAAAACCACCTGGCAAAAGTACAGCTTCTTGTCCTGAAGGCCACTAGGCAACTATAGTCTGATATAAAAGTACGAGATGCAACCTTCTTAATGCAAAATAACTGGCTTCCCAATGCTTATGACTATGAGTTATCAGAAGAGGTAGCAAGTACTCTTCACAAGAAAAAAGTGGCTCTAAAATTGTTACAATCCTGGAAGATGATTACAGTACATTTATAAAGTATTTTGATCAAGCATTCTTACCTAATTTTATTCCCTTAAATGATTTAGTCAGATCATTTTAAAAAAGGTAATAAGTTGCATGAAAGTGATTGTTGTCCATCATTTTTACCACCGAAAGCTTCAGATTAAGAGCAAATTTGTTACTGGTAATTAACACCTCATTACTGATTGCTCACCTTCATCATAAGTGAGTCAAAGATTGTTTGACTGCAGGATAGCTGTGCTGTTGAGCTATCTTGTCCATATGGATTTAAAAAAATACACTGTGAACATGAAATTAGAAAAGAAGTCTCAGGCAACAGTTTACATTACTTTACTGAAAATACTACCATAACTTAGATGGCTTTAATTTCACAAGTTGCACAACATGCTCTGATGAATAGGGAAGTTGTATAAGAATTTAAGGAAAAATCAGAGTTAAGAAAAGGTGATGGTCAGATTCCTATTTGCCATGTTCATGTATGATTGAGAATGTCTGTGTTATTCTTCACAGGCTGGGAAATCAGTCATTGTTAACTAAGGCTAAAGACGACATCCCAATTTAGTTTGTCACCTCTCTTTAGATCGATTCAATCTAAAACATATAGATATGTATACTTTAAATTTCGCTACACATGTATAAGAACACAACTGTTGACGCATAGCTTTTTGCTTTCTCTCATGTACATGCCTTGTAGATTGAGTAATGAACTCTCTTTGTTGAAGCTCGTATAAATACATTTATCCACAAAAGTGTTGTACTATAAATCACTGTTAAATTTCTAACTCGGCGTTGAGCCGAGGCATTTAAATTTGGTAAACAACAAAATTTACGCTACGGGTAAGTTTTCACTCCGCGGTTTATCAATTTCCACCTCATCCTACACTGACGAGAATGGAAAATTTCCGAAACATACCAAAACATTTGTAATCTACAATTGGAAAGAGTACCATATAACCCCATACATTAATTATGTATTCCACTTCGTTGTCTTTCACGACAAAAATTTAAAAACAAAGTCTACTAGTCTGAATGCATAGTTAATGTATGGGGTTATATGGTACTCTTGCCTCTACAATTTAGTAAACGAAAAAATGCGCCCTCCTTGAATGAAACGTTCGTTATTTGGATTTACGCCTCAGAGCATTATGGAAGCTACGGCAGATTAGAGCTAATTTGCCCCGTGAAACACAAAAATACCACTCACGTCAGCTGTAGACCTCGCAACTGCACGAAAACAACGTCTTCTGAAAAAAATTTCGGTAGATATATCCATGTTCGCCTCCCCAAAAGCGTAAAGGCTCTCTGATCTAAACTTCGAACGCGCCATACGGTAATGGCCGCCATTTTTTTAAGTCTTGAAACTCTGCTGGGGGTCTCAAGCCAAAATAAAACCCAGGCCTTAAACTACTAGAGAAGTCAAGGGTGAAAGATGCGCTAAGGGGTCTTATAACCTAACTAGTACATCTTCTTGGTCTTAAAAAAAAACCACTCCTCATGAAACTTTATCCACATTAATTACGTCTCTTCCGTAGTGTCTGGTGTAAGAATCACGTGATTCCCTCAAAGGATTTGGCAGGTAGAGGCTAAAGAGTCCGCATTACCACTGAGGGAGTCCGTATTAACTTCCGGGGAGGTGGTATTAACACTTGGGTTAATGTTAATACGGACTCCGTCAAACCCTATCCTCTAAAAAAATTCATAAGAAATTCAGGATTACAGTTCTGAACTTGTGCTTTGGCATAGATAGAGTACTAGTATAGAGCTATGTTTTTGCAAAAGTTTGACATGATTTTTTTAAAAATAAATAGGGGATATCGCACTCAAGGATTAGGGCTAGGGAGTCCTAATTAACATCTCGGGGGAATCAGGCTACAAATATTCGAAACATGCCCAAATTTGGAATGTGCATAGTACAAGGCATTCCCCATCTAGGGTTATTAGTTCCACTCGATTCCCTCTAATTTGACAAATCCAGACCTAAGCCAAAAGATCTAGTATAGGTATGAAACCTACAGAAGACTTTACTCATAACTCAACCTTGAAACTAGGGCTAGATCGCAAAACTGCTAAAACCTTTATTCTTGGGAGTTGAGAGCTGAAATTTACAGAGCATGCTTATGGCATACTTTTTATCACGTGCACCAAATTTCACGTCATTTCAAAGAATATTTTGGATTTTTAGGCCCTTTCTCGTCAAATTTTCATATTTTGACCAAAGTGAGGGTTAAGGCTTAAAGGCTTTTCCCGTTTTTTCCAGCACAATTTCATTAAATGTAGGCGAATTATACATCGTTGGAAAGGTTGTAACAAGAACTAGAACGTGACGTATTCAAAAGTAATGAAATCATTTTGCGCATGCGCTGGCGAAAGTAAAAGCTCGAAAAAAGGGGTGTTTTGGCTCTTTTTTTCGCAAGGCTAAGAAAACCTTAAAAATCGAACGAAATTGACACGACATCACATACACATGATTGTCCATTACCTTAACAATAGTTTGTTGTAATTGGCGTAGAAAATGGTCTATTGGAGCATTTTTTACGAATTTTCTGGTAACACGGGTCTCATATGTACGCTATACGGACCTATTAATTTTATCTTAACAAATTCATAAAAAAATCACTTTTTATCGGTTTTTCGTTAAACGTACACCGACGTAATCACAATCTCGTATACTTTTCACTACAATTAAAAAAAGGATTGATTTTTCCAACCCCTTTC